TGCTTACAATATCTGAATAAGTTCGTTTTGATGGGCGAATCTTACAGATGTTTCATCATAAGAGATATGTTCTTGTGACAAAATTACTTTAATATATTTTTGGTCTATTAAATTCTGGTCAGCATGAACTAATAGCCGCGTGATTACCAGTACAACGAAGACATGTGACTGAGGTAAATTCACATGTTTCTCCATCATGAGGTTGTCCACATTTATAACAACGTGGCTTGGATCTGCATTTAGACTTAAGATGTTCAAAACGACAGCAGTTATAACATTGTATTGTAGGTGAGAGGTAAGGTTCTACAGAATATGAAGTGAAATAGGCAAAAACATGTGAGGACAGTAATTTACCGGAGAACGTAATAACGATCGTTTGTGTTGGAATCCACTCTACAGAATTGTCTGCTTTAATAACTTTACGGTTTAGACGACAAGCGCGAATTATTCCCGTAGAAGAAGGAACTTCTGATGCAGAAACAAATTCATCCATACCTATATTATGTAGTATGTCATTGAGTGCGCACGAGTGAAATGGATTTTTTTGACATTTGACAGTTCTTTTACGATTGGCATCGCCGCAGTCCTTCGTTGTTGCCAAAGAGAATATAATCACTTGTTGCGTTTGCGTCTCGTTGTGTATTGTGCCATTTTGTGTGTTTTTCATGGATCACATAGAATAGAAATATGTAGGGATATACAAGATTTTTCTCAGTATAATCTCAGAGGAAGTGGTGAGAGAACATTGATAAGAGACAGAAAAATTAAGTATTTGGTAACGGCTAATCCTAACCTAAAGAGTAACATTAATATGTTTGGGCTTCGTAACGTTTAAATCGTAAAAATTACTACATGATATTATTTTCTAAACTTACAGGAAGTTTTTCTACTATACCTTATAACTATATATAAACTTTTACTATTAGGTGTTTATATGTATGAAAAGTGGGTATGGTTCTTTGAAACATATATTGACCAGAAAAAAGTTTCTGTCTTATTAAATAAAATAGATTGGGACTCAACTAAAAGTCTTAGTAGCCTCATTAAAATATACAAATGTATAAATGAGAACTTTAAAGTTGCTACAAAGAAGCCCTAAGAAAAATTTAAATAAAAAGTAGAACATTAACGAAGGTAGAAAATAAATGGGTTAATAAAAGGACTAAAAGAGCATGTGAAGATAGGGACTATTGATTTTCTTTGTGGTTAATAAATACTGACGATATGATTATTAAACAATAATATGATAAAATACGAAATTCAACTGACAAACTGATACAAAAAACAAAAAGTTCCTACATAAAAAGGGATATATATATATATAGTAATAAAAATAACCAGATGAGACTTTGGCAAATACTACACAAGATTACGGGGCGGGCAAGTTCTTCCATCGATAATATAATATTAAATTCATTTTAAAATGAAAACGTAAAGCCACTTGATATCTTTTTCAGAAAAATGTTTCAAGCATCGTACCTTCCAGTAATCGGCCCCTTTTGCCGATGAACCTGTACAGATCGTCTGTAAATGTAATACTCCGATATTGAAAGCCTACTCCAAGCTCAATATCTAAAATAATAAAAAACATTCACACGAACAAAGAACCAGGACAGACAAAATATCGATAAATATAGCCAACCTAATAAATGCGTGTATTGAAAAAGTTAAGTACCCTATTGAATTAAAAACCGGAATTGTAAGACCCATACATGAAAAAGGTAAAAGACTACCACGACTATCATTCAATAACAACACTGTCTACACGAGATAAAATAATTGAAAAATATATAAGTAAACAAGTAAATAATTTCTATAGTCAACAATTTTAAATAAAAACCGGTATGGTTTTCAGCAGCATAAAAGTACCATTTAAGTTTTATCTACTTTTACTGACGACATAAACTATTATCTTGATAATATAATACATGTTCTAGTTGTTTTTATTGACTATAGTAAAGCGTTCGACATACTAAGGCATGATTTAATGATTGAAAGACTTGATGAATGTGGACTTAGAGGACCCCTTCCGAATTAGAGCAAAGATTATGTTAAAGAGAGAGCATAAAGAGTTAAAGTAGGAAATACTACAAGTATAAAGCAAACCGTCACCCATGGTATCGCTCAGGGCTCTGTGCTTGGGCATTTGCATTACTTGAATTATGTTAATAATTTTGCCAATGTAATTAAAAACTGCAAGATATATCAGTTACAGACTACATCTATCCTCATATCTGCAAATACCTGCTTACTAGCGGCGGAGAACGACATAAATGTGGCATAACAGAAATTGCAAGAGGATTTCACCAACCTTATGAAATGGTCTCATCATGCAAGGCTAATTCTGAAAACCACCAAAACAAAATTGATGTACATTTTGTCCAGTCAAAATAGAGTATCCATTCCTTTAAAAGCAATTGCCCACAGCCACCAATGTCCACATAATAACATGTCTACCCAGACTTGTAATTGTAACCATATTGATTTAGTAGAACAATAACCTTACTTTGGAATCTTATTAGACAGTCGATTTAAATGGACGCACCATAATATTTTACTTATACACCTTAACTTAACACACACTTTGTGTTAAGTTAAGGGCCATGCTTGCCATATTTTCTATTATTAAATATAAAGTTCCCTATCCTGTACTGTTACCCTTTACAAGGCTCTCACCGAATTGATAATAAAATACGGATTAAGTAGCTATGGTGGAACCTGGAAATCGCATTTTTATAGTATCCATGAATTATAGCTTAGAATCATCAAAACAATTGTCCCTCTAAGATTAAACAACAGTATAAGGATAACTACAACAAATTATTCATATTCTGCGGTATTCTGCCTATTAAAGAAAAACTAAAACTTACTTTACTTGTTGAACAGTTCTTTAATACAAAATTCCTACCTATTTATAAGCACCAGCTTAGAAATATATATAATCCTAAATTAATTATAGCTAAAATACAAAATATGTATGGACATTATTAAAATAATATTATTATTCCTAAATAAATTAATAAACTACCTAAAACCTTAAAGGAAGATATCAATCCTAAAAATATTAAACACAAATTAAAAAACATACTCTAGGAATCAACTAACAAAATAACTAACATAATATTACTAAAAACTAATACTATATACTATTTGTATATTATATACTATTATATATGTATACTGCTTGTAATATAATTACTATCTTTATATATTAAAAATATAAAATAATTTTTCATCCGCACCGCCTGTATACTCGTACTACTCTAACCAAACCGTCATGATAACTCATCCTCATGTTATTGTTATAGAAGCGATCGAACTACCTTCTTAATCTAAATAATATTAAAATGTTTACGCTCGAAAGACGGCAAACTGCAGTGTATTTGTGTTGGACTGTACTTATGAACTGTGTATAATATGTATTTTAGTTGTTTTAAAATAAAAAAAAATAAATAAGAAAAGAAGAGATCAAGCGGAACCAAGAGTCCAAATTTTTGCCAGAGATCTGTCTGCCAGAGAAAATAAATAAGAAAAGAAGAGATCAAGCGGAACCAAGAGTCCAAATTTTTGCCAGAGATCTGTCTGCCAGTAAGAGCCAACTTTCGAAGCTGAAGACCGAGTGTGGCAGCATCGTTTCTGGGACACCTGACATTTTGAGCAAGATTGAGAAGTACTACAGTCAGCTGCACACATCATGGTTGGAGCCACACGCAAGTGTGAATAACGATTTAAGAGCAAGTCTTATCCGACACTATTCTGATAATATCCCGGCCGTCAGCCCTAGCGAGATTAGAATAGCTCTCCAGCACCTTACAAACGGTAAGGCCCCGGGCGAGGATATAATTACAGCTGAGCTTCTGAGAGTGGGTGAAAAACCAGTACTTGAAGTCCTTCAGAAGTTCTTCAATTCCGTCCTCCATGGATTGTGGGACTACTCTAGAGCAGAAGTGCGGTGGTCTTGTTCTTCAAGAAAGGTAACAATGCTCTCTTGAAGAACTACAGAGTGATTGTCCTTCTGAGCCGCGGCTACTTGCTATTTTAAAGAGTCATTACAAACATTAGCCTCCCGAACAAGCCGGTTTTCCATACCATAGACCACGTACACACACTTCGGCAAAATGTACATTAGACCCTACCGCTTTGCTTTGCGTATGTGGACTATGGAAAGTCTTTGATTTCGTCGAAATTAAGGCGGCTCTTCAGTCCCTACAGCGGCGCCAAGTTGACTTTCGGTATATCGAAGTGCGAAAATGTTTGTACAATAGGGCTACGATGGCTACCCGAGTACAGAACCAGTGTAAAAAGCCCATCAAACTGCAGAGAAGTGTAAAACAGGATGATGTTATATCCCCGAAATTATTAATACCTGCATTGGAAGACGTTTTCAAGATACTGGACTGGAAAGGATACGGTATTAACATCAATGGTGATTACATCAGTTACCTTCGATTTGCCTACGATATAGTCCTTTTAGTAGACTCGCTGGAGGACTACTATTTCGTTCATAGTTCTTTTGTAAATAAATATTATTTCATAAATATTTGTTTTGCTCACCCTACCTCACTGGCTTGAATTGACACCTATCATCACAATATAGCGTAAGTCAGTTCTATTCTTATATAAATCGCATTATAGGTAGTATTGCTTTTTTGTCACTGTTTTATATTGTATTTTTGCTATTTTAAACAGACACATATAGTTCCTTATCATATTATTATACTGACAGAATATCCTGACAAATGTTAAAAAAATAATGTCACAATCTACATACGGCCTACTGAAATAAAGAAAGTTAATAACTAAAAAATACGGAGTGCTCAGAGTAACCACCTTACTGATATTCTCTTGGAGTCAAATGAGCTATTGCTGAACATAAGCATCTCACTATTGAGAGAGTTTAAAGTTTTGGGGCAGGAACATGAACAAATGGTGTTTATTTACAAAATTTTGTTTCGACTTTTGTCTAAGAATATAAAGTTTTATGATATACATTTACCCACCTCTGGTTTCGAACGATCAACCATACGTAGACCTTGATCTGATACTTCTAAAATACATGGTTGTGCACCTGGTTGTCCGGCGCATTCTCCGACTATTTTCTTTACAGCTTGACATACAACACCTGTTCCTTTATGAGCAAGGGTTTCCACCGATCCCATATACCTAGTTCAGAGTTAAAAAGTTAGTTACAATTAAATTTAAACGTATTTCAAACTCTTGTATATTTATTGACAAACCCTAAAAGATATCGCTCTCGCTTGATTTTGGCATTCGCTGGATCAAAATCGTTATATTCCATATCCACAGCATAAGCTGATGGAAATATTCCCTGTTGACCTGTTCTCAAGTTGACCCCTGAAAACGAATGTCATTTATTTTTCAGTGTCCTTAAAATGGTTTTTTATATTTATCGAAAAGTTATTGTTATTTTATATACCTTCACACCACAGATCTTCAGCTTCTTTTTGTACATAAATGGGGTCACCAATTTCAACTTCAAGCTCATCGTGATGTCTTGGATTAAATTTATGTAAGCCTCTGTGTGTTGCTTCTAACATCTCTAGTTGACTATGAGGAACCGTTGTCATGTTTCCAGAGTAATTAATACCACTGATACTACAACTTGACGTAGGCGAAACTGAAAATAGTTCTACATAAATAACACATCATGTTTTTTGAACCATTAACATACAAAAGCAATTAACATCGAAAAATTAAACGGTAAAATAAAAGGTGACTGTATTTGAGCTGGAAGCATTTTCTGTCATAATTTAAAACACTAAGTTGTATTACGGCATTGATAAAGCACGCAGTAACATGCAACCACAGCTGAAGTGTTTTCATACCATCAAATATTGAGAACTAATTGTAAAATATAAGCAAAGCGTGCTTTCAAAATGTTATATCATTAATTCAAAGATTTTTTACAGAAGTTTTGGTTTTAGTTCATTCAAAGTCCTTATAATTTGTATTTAATTGTATTTGAAACTTGCGTAAAGCTTTAGAAATATAATTAGTTGTTATATACCCCAAGTTGAAGAAAATTGTAAAGGATCCACGAATTGCACTGAAATTATTATAATTTGTCTAAAAATAAAGAATAAACTAAGTCCCTATAGTTAAATTTGTCTTAACTAACAGGAAAAAAAGGAAACTACTTAATACTAACCATTCTGTTGAAGTGGCGTTGGCGATATACTCTTTGGGCCAGTGTCTATAGGTGAATGTGCTGTACTGTGACCACTGTCTACATCACCAAGACTTTGAAGTCGTTCTGAATCTGGACTGGAGTCTTCATCGAGAAGGTACCCACACTTGAGTACCAACAAGGGGCGGCCTTGGGACCCTGGTCGTATTAGGAGACCAGCGAGAGCGCCTAATTCATCCGCCAAGGAAGCAGGTTGATTGCAAGCCACGACGGTAGCTGAAATGTTTTTATAATTACTCTAAATTAATCTAAATTTCAATGTACTGTATTAAAGTAAGTGTTACATATATACTAATTTATATAATTGTGTTGAATAGCTAAGTGTTATGAGACCTTCTTAAAACCATTTAATGGCTCTCTTCATCAGCCTGCAACAGTTCAGCTCTGAACAGGATTGGCGATTGCAATACCAGATGTCCCGCACCTTTGACTACTCTCCATCGCCGGTTGTATTATTTTCATCTGACGTGAAATAGGTGGTCATACCGCCGTCTAACAATAACCATGAGATTTTCTGACATTCCCCTTAGCATAGTCGCTTATTACCTACGACAAGATTGAATGAGGTGATGTTTTGTTTACGACACCACCATATTGCACTAATGATAAAAATGCTAAAATGAATCATATACGAGTATAAATCAATCGTTATGAATTATATAGCGTATAAAAAATTATATTGCGGTTTATTGAAAATAATGCACGGGCTGAAATAAACAGACGAACTGCAACGAATATGACACTTATCGTGTCAATTACTTACACGAAAATATATTAGGGCGCGTTCCGACGACACGCACCCGCTACGCGCACGCCACGCGCGTCAGCACCCGCGTCTAACTAGCTTCGAAATTTGTTGCATATAATTTGAGTCTTATGAAAAATCAATAAATCTGAAATTGCAATTATCGACGTTCAACCGCACACGCCTCGTCCACGCCACGCGCCCGCCACGCGCCCGCCTCGTTCCCGCTCCGCGCTGATCCCACGCTGATCCCGCGCTCACCCCGCACACGCGCTTTTTATACAATTTCAGATTTATTGATTTGTCATAATACTCAAATTATATGAAAAAAATTTCAAAGCGAGTTAGACGCGGGTGCCGAAGCGCGTGGGTGCGTGTCGTGGGAACGCGCCCTTACAATATCAGGACAATGTGATAACCCGGAATGTTAGAACCCCGTGAATCGTGTATGCGTAGGATTGATTCCATAAAAAATTATGTTAATTTTTTTTGTGGCGTAGGTAAACGTTGCAATTTTAATATACTATTAGAATTTTATCTGTTTAGGTTACGTGAATACGGAAATAATAAAGTTGGAAGTTCCAAGATATATTTATATATGTGTATATTTATATATAATTAACAGGCGCAGCAGGCATCGTTCTGCCCTTTTCGTTAGGGGCGCGTTGGTAGACATGAGGTACTCGATCATTACGCCATCATTGGCGCAATGGTTCAGATTTCGTTATTTTATTTTTGGCACTTAAACAACATAATATATTATGAACATGTGTCAGTTTGATCCATAAATTTAGATTTTGTTAATAACTTGACTACAGCGCCACCTATTTAATCCTAGTTAAGCTATGAACCATGGTCCAACAAAATGTATTGGTATTGAGTGAATATGACTTGAATCGGTTAAATAGTTCAGAAGTTCATCACTAATAGAAGAGACCAACGATTTATTGTAGATAAGTATAATGTTTATAGGTATTTTATTTTTTATTTTATTGGTATTATTAGTATTATATTCAACATATTACGAGTATATTATATTTTATCTTAATTATCCCCTTTTTACATATATTTAAAAGTCCCAATCAGACGAGAATAATATAAAATATTCAAATAATTGTAAATCATAATAAAAAAAATATAATAAGTTTACTTTTAAATAGGAAGTGGAGCTGCGAGACAACTATTTCGAATTCCAACTGTCTCGCGACAACACGGCTAAAATATCACCGTCGCTCTGCCGTCGCTAAGCTGTGTTACTTTTTTGATTACTGCTAATAGTGTTAATTGATTTAATGATTTTGTAAATTGAAACAGACTTATGCTGCGATTTTAAATTAAAAACTGAACTGAACGGAATACAATAGAATAGAATAATTATAATTCAATAATAAAATTAAGCTTTACCACAGGACAGAGGTTTTACCCAAATCTCTATACTGGGAACAAGCAACAAGAAACCAAGCGTCACTTTTTTAAATATTAATTTACAAAATAATATTTTATACAATTAAGTATACTAGAAACAGTATAGTAGCGATTACCTCATTCCCAGTGATTATTATAATACTTATATACTCTTTAGAAGTATAAAAACCCTTATTAAATAATTTTCGCTTAGTGCAAATTTTAAACTTTTTGATAGGTTCTGCATATTTTCTGAGACTTTGTTGTAAAAGCGCATACATTGTCCCATGAAAGAATTACTGACTCTTTGGAGTCAAGTAACACTAATACATTATTATTTTCATATAAGGCTGCTATAACTAACACAAACGATAATCGAATATAGTATGCTTAATTTTTTTTCTTGTTCAATTTGAAAGAAAAGATATAAACATGACAAAGCATAATATTGAAAGCTACAAATGTTTAAATTAATTAAGGGATTCGTAAAATAAACAATTTATACTAGGCTTTCAACGTCAAACTAAAACAAGTTAACTAAATGATTTTTATAATTACACATTTAAAATATATTTACGAAAAACTGTCTGTTATTGTTTAATCATTTAGAAATCATTATTTCAATCATTATGATAAATGTATGCATGTAAGTCGTTCATTGGGCTTACAATTTTGTAAAGGTTTTTCATGTATTGGAGTCAGTTTTTACTGACTAGCGATCCACCTCGGCTTCGCACGGGTGATTTCTGGATCTCAACAACAGCACCACCCACTCAAACGAATACAAAAAACTTTATCAAAGTCGTTCGAGCCGTTTTAGAGTTTTAGCGAAGCTAACGTGTAGTAATTGATATATATATATATACCAAGAACGGATTTTATGAAATTCCACTCACAAAGGAAAGTGCGGGGGCGTTAAAAAATTCAACTTTTATATGTCATACTCTCCCTAAACGGCTGGACTGATTTTGATGAAGTTTTGTGTGTGCGTGGTTAAGTTGATTCAATTTTGATTTTGAAACCAATAATGGTTTAGACTCAAAATTGGACCCGGTACGTGGCACTGAGGTCGAGATCCAAAAATCAACCGTGCAAAGCCGGGGCGGATCGCTAATATATGTTATTATAGAGATACTGACATTTAAAAATAAATAAAGTTATATATTATTATGCTACCAATTTCTGTAGATAATCTGTACTTAATAAAAAAAAACATTGTGTGTAAAGTATGTTAAATATAAAAAAATACAAAAGATATACTTTTTATATATTAATATTAGGTCCTTACATATAAAGTTGGCGTTTTGCACGCGAAGAATATAAAGTCAATTTTTTTTGTAAAATATATTTAAATAATCAAAGTATGCACCATTGTTATCTATGCACTTTTGCCATCTCATAGGTAGTTCATTGATCCCTTTACTAAAAAAAAACATGGGGCGAGAATCAATAAACTCTTTGGATGCGGTTTGGACTGCAGCATCGGAGTCGATTTTTTTCCCTTGTAAGAAGTTGTCCAAATTCCTAAAAAATTGTAATCTGCTGGAACTAGGTCCGGGGAGTAGTGGATGTCGCACACATTCTAACTGTAGCTCATCTAACTTAGTGGTTGTTTGTTGTGCAGTGTGTGGTCTTGCGTTGTCGTGAAGCAGCAGTGGCCTAGAGCGATTGACCAATCTCGGTTGCTTAGCAGCTAGTTCTTCCTTCATGGTTTGCAGTTACTGACAATAGATATCTGTCGTAATCGTTTGGCCCGATTTTAGAAAGCTGTAGTGAAAGACACCGGCGCTAGTCCACTAAACACACACAAGTAACTTTTTCTGAGTCAATTTTGGTTTAGGTCAGGATTTGTCTGGGTTTCCAGGGTTCAGCCATTGCGACGAGCGCTTCCGCTTATCGTACAGTATCCACTTTTCATCACAAGTAATTATACGATCTAAAATCCCTTCATTGTTGTGTCGGTTGGGCAAAGTAACACAGCAGTCGACGTGTGTTTGCAAGTTCGATTCACTAAATTCATGAGGTACCCATCATTCAAGTTTTTTTACTTTCCCGATTTGCTTGAAATGGATTAATACAGTTTTATCACTAACCCCGAAGCCTGCAGCTTTCTCTGAAGTGCTTTGTGAGGAATCCGCTTCCACAATAGCCTTTAATTCTCATTTTCCACTTTGGTCTCCGGCCGTCCACGGGGTAGGTTCTGAAGGTCGAAATTTCCAGAACGAAAACGTTGAAACCAAAACGTACCGTGCTTTCTTTTGCGTCACCAGCACCGTACAGATCATTCATCCTTCGAGCTGTTTCCGCAGCACTGTTGCCACGGTAGAAGTCGTACTCGTAAATATACCGATATTTCATGTTTTCCATTGTGGGGAAATAAGCGACGCCAAAGAAAAAAATAATGAGGAAAAACCAAATGAATGACTGTTTTCAAAACTCAAATGTACCAGCTAATTGAATTTTTAAATTTGAATTTGGAATTCTTACAAAAAGAGGAGATATTTAAGATCAAAGTGGTCAGTACGACAAAACGCTAATTTTATGTGTAAGGACCTAATATATAGTACGTTAAATAAGCGTTTGCCTGTGGCGCTGCAGGCCATAACCTTGATTCTCGGAAATATCAATGTGCCTTCGAATAATTTTTCAGCATGTAGATGTTTATCAACATTTAGTTTATTAAACAAAACATAACTAAATGTAGAAATAAAGCAAATAAAGATCATTATTATTATTAGAAAAATTATGTACCTATATTACAGCGACGTAATAGCAAAAAGCAAAAACTGCCTCACTAATAAATCATGGGCTTGAAACCGTCATTTGAATACTGTCGTAAACTACTGAGTTTGAATTTGAACATTTAGAGTAGTTAATGGTAAAACATTAGTAGTGTTGGTGTTCAAAACATTATTAATATTCTAGAAAGTTTTTGTATATTCACTAGTACACATATATAATATGTAGGAAGGCATACAAGAATCCAATACCCCACAATATCATCCCGTGAATGAAGTTAAAGGTAAGAGAAGAAAACTGAAACAGGAGACGTTCAGCAGCACGTTCGTTATAACAAGTTAATAATAACAAAAAGTCTGCGGTTGTGAAAACGGCTGCCATGCGAGGAAATTACAGCAAACATTCCCGCAACGAAGCCATTTATTCAGTTGTGAACTTGTGATAGGGTGATAATGTTATGTATACATTTATCATGTATTTGATTTTTAACAATATACAACTAACAATTGCATCTACATAAGGAAGATTTTTTTTGAAATTCTTAATTGTATGTTCAACGTTCAAAATTAGATCCATGGCCAATTATTATAAAAAAAATATTCTAATCTATTTTCATATTGATTATATTAAATCAGTAATATTAATTAATAAAAAAATATAAAAACAGATAAAAATAAACATTGAAAATAATTCTATAAAGAAAATAGTGATTGTATTAATAAAATCGCTGTTACATTGTAATGTAGTTACATTACAGACTTACAGACTTACAGATAATGATATTAGAGAGATAATGTTTCGTATTCCGTACATGTACATGTACCGAAAATCGCACAGCGCAGATGCAAAATTAAAATTACAAACAAACGCCAGCATTCCATTTAAATTATTGTGATTTTCTTACACATTTTCAAGAGCAATAAATACATTAAACATGATCTGCAAAACTTACACTTTCGATGCTTGGGGATCTCAGGAAGTTTTCTTCTTTTTCTTTCGCCATTATTAAAATTTTGATGTCTGGGGCTGCGTTGTGCATCAGTGACATCTTGATTTATTGGCGACACATCACTGCCTGCTGGTGGAGCGTTCACCGTTTCGGCATTACCAACGCATTCATTATCTTCTTCTGGTGAACCGTCACTTTTTGATGAAGGTGATTCATCTTCCAAGCCCACATTTGGCACTAATCTATAATAGAAGAAAAAACCAACACTTATAAGTTGTTATTAAGTGTATTAAATTCCATTTTTTATGTGATTTTTTTAAAAGCAGTGTCGATATGACCGTTCCGACCACACGGCGTCGTATTATAATAAATTAAAATATTGAAGAAAAATTTACTTACGAATAAAATGATGATGGGGCTTTAATATGCTGTGGTAATTTATCGAATACTCGACGAAATTCTTCAAACTCGCTGTCGGCCATGTCGCTAATTCACCTGATTGTTGGTTAGAGAGAGTGCCGCATGCGCGACTCATGCCCCTTGTAGTTATCGACCAAGTCTAAGGGGCTCAAATGAATTTCCTGTATATTGCGCATGTTCCATAGTCCTGCGTGCGCATCGTTTACAACGCCCCCCGTACAAATATTTTCGAACCCTAAAATGCATGGGCTGTTGATGAAATATAATATGAATCAGCGGGAAATCCGTCAAAAATGAAATCCGTCAAAATGAAACTTGAGTTATGCATCCATGTTGCCAAATGTATTAGTGATGCCTTAACTATTTTATATTATGTAACAATTTTATGATCGTCTGTAATTTTATATACATTTATAGTTAAAATAAAACCGAAATGTTTTTCTTTTGTTTTAATATATGTTTTATAAATTTGGCTTCTGAATATCTTATGATTATTTTTCATTTACATCATCAACAAAGTGAAACCATTGCTGGACATAGGTGCCTTTAATTAGAGTGATCTATAATGATGGTTATTATTTTTTTATTGTGCTATGCAGTTCTAGAAAGACAAGTATCACTGCAACCTGTAAGATCTACTGTGATTACTGCTATGGCTATAGCTTAATGCTAAGCCCTGAAGGATTTGCTAAGCTGTGTGCAATTTCGCTTCTTCTGGGCTAAGTACATAGTTTCTCAGATGAGTGTTACACACTAAGGGCCACAATCAGTCAGGATTTGCAGAGGTGTTTCTTCCGTTAAGGAACAAAATCGGCACATCCTTTAGTTGCTTAGTCCCAGGATGGACATGTGCTATTTTAGAGAACAGTGACCAGTCAGGGCTCTTGCCAGAAAGTTTAAAAGTTAAAGTTACAGTCTATATACATCCCACTGCTGAACACAGGCCTTCTCTCATTTCTGAAAAGGAATTAAGGCAAAGAAATGTCCGTACTATGAAATTTACTGCGAGCTCTTAGCTCTTGAGCTACCACGACTCTCTTGCCAGAATACGCAGTTTATTCCTTCTTAATCCCAGCGCTTCTGAACAAAATTTACGATTATTAAGGTTTTAAAATCTTTTAAGCCTGGTGACCATGTCTTAAGTGCTTTATTGTGACAAAGAGTTTCAAAGATCAATCGAGTCAGGGTTTTTGAGATTCCACAAAATGCCTATGTGTATAGGCTTGTCGGCAAGATAGTACAATACCTACATGCCCTGGAAACAATCTCAAAACGTCCCTGTTGTTACACCTTAGGGCATTTAGACGGTTTATGCAGTCTTCAACTAGCTTTGGGATCACTAAGTTTGATCTCAGCGTTAGCAGAGCTGCTTGAGTACCTGAGTTTATACAAATAACTAGCTGTTCTCAGCGAGTTCGCTCGCGTGTTATTCAGCGTTTTAATTTTTTCTGCGCGGAACCCGAATTATTTTTCTAAAATAAAAGTAATCTAAGTTACTCAGCTCAGCTATCTGCCAGTGAAAGTCCCGTCAAAATCGGTTCATCCGTTTTAGAGATCAGCTGGAATAAACAAACAGACAGAGAAAAATTTTAAAAATTGTAGTTCTTTTATAATTACTGTATATATTTTCATATGCATTCAGTAAAAAGCTGTAATTTTGACATTACAAACAGACACTTCAATTTTATTTATTGGTATACATATGATTGACGTAATTCTTTTGCAGGTTGATTTCCGCACAACGAAGTATGACGAAAATTTCTGCCTGAAATATATGTCTTTCCCTAAATACATTTGGGGCGTTCCCCATAAATTTAAGAAAAAGTAGGCTGTCAAAGTCAAAGTCATATATTTTTGTGTAATATATTTTATTAAATGAATATAAACCATCGATATATATAGGCCGCACTAAAAGTATCGGGAATGGAATATTTCCACTGTTCCTGTCATATTAAAATATTTTTAATTCAAAATTCCTTGGTTTTAAAAATCGAATACCATTTATTTATTTTAAAAAAGATTCTCGGTCTTGTCACAAGGTTTTGTCAAATTTGTTTAATCGTTGAGAAAATGGAATTGACTCGAGAAAATTCAAGAGCGATGATTTATTATGACTTTCGTAGTGGTTTAACACAAAAACAGTGTGTTGACCGAATGATTTTCGCATTTGGTGATGAAGCCCCATCCAAAACCACAATTTTTCGCTGGTTTGCTAAATTTCAACGTGGACGCGTCAAGCTTAGTGATGATCCCCGTCAAGGTCGTCCAAAAACTGCAGTCACCCAAGAAAACGTTGATGCTGTGCGTAAGCTGATTGAGGAAGATCGACATGTGACATACCGCAAAATTCAGGCAACTTTAGACATTGGCATGAGTCAAATACAAATAATCTTGCATGAACAATTAGGTGTAAAAAAGTTGTTTTCCCGATGGATACCGCATCCGCTCTGTGAAGAGCAAAAAGCGGCTCGCGTTACTTGGTGCATCAGAACTCTCGAAAGATTCCACGCAGGATCCTCAAATGCTGTATACAATATCGTATCAGGTGACGAATTCTGGATATACGCGTACGAACCCGAAACAAAAAAACAGTCACGAGTTTTGGTGTTCGAAAATGAGTTTTAGCCAACAAAAATTGTTCGTTCACGGAATGTTGCAAAAAAATGGTAGCCACGTTTGTCTCCAAAACCGGCCATGTTACGATTATTCCTCTTGAGGGACAAAGAACGGTTAATGCAAAATGGTATGCTAGCATTTGTTTGCCACAGGTCGTTTCTGAACTCCGTAAAGAGAACTGCAACCGCTGCATCATCCTCCATCACGATAATGCGAGTTCTCACACCGCACACAGAACAAAAGAGTTTTTAGAGCAAGAATAATAGAATTATTAGACCATCCGCCGTACAGCCACGACCTAAGCCCTAGTGATTTCTGTACTTTCCCTAAAATAAAGAATAAGTTACGCGGACAGAGATTTTCATCACCTGAAGAAGCTGTGGTCGCCTACAAAACGGCCATTTTGGAGACCCCAACTTCCGAATGGAATGGTTGATTCAATGATTGGTTCCATCGTATGGAAAAATGTGTTAAATTTCGCAGAGAATACATCGAAAAGCAATAAATACATTTTTAAATAGTAATGTTGTGTCACTTCCTTGATTCCCGAAATTTTCAGTACCGTATATGTACTACGCACTAGATATAACACGCACTAGATGCGGTTCTTGCGGTGTGCCTTTATGGTGTAGCACTCAAGAGAGTGTTTCAATTTAAATACCTTGGCCACATAGTTAATGAAGATTTAGATGATGACGATGACATAGAGACAGAGCGAAGAGCATTGTCGGTCCGGTGCAACATGCTGGCCCTCAGGTTTGCACGTTATACGAGAGAAGTGAACATTACTCTTTTCAAGGCGTTGTTCCAATCATTCTACACGTGCAGCCTGTGGGTTAGATATACGCAGCGGACCTACAATATCCTTCGTGTGCAATATAATAATGCATTTAGGGTGCTGTTGGGGCTTCAACTATTCTGTAGGGCATGTTTGCTGAAGCGGTAACGGTTGGTTTCAAGCTATTATGCGAAAAAAGAACAGCATCCCTGATGGGCAGGCTTCGGGGTAGCACCAAGTTTATTGTAGAGAATCCAGACTGCCCTTCCTGCAGCACTGGACACGTATACACTGCTGCAGGTCTGGTGCAGCGGTATATGAATTAATTTAGTTATAAGTAGTTAATGTTGTTACTAACATATTTTAGTTTATAAATTACTTACTAACCGACATGGATCGTGGTCCGAAATAAATGATTATTATTATTATATTTATAAAGTATTCTCATCTGGTTGGGCTGAATAAATATATAAAGGATTTAGTAAATAAACATACATAAATATATATATTAAATACAATAACATAAATAACACATAAATAAATAAAAGCCCAACCAGATGGAAGCTCTCGGCAGGGTAGACCAAACGGTCGAGGGTTAGGGGGAAAGAGAAAGAAACCGGCGGACGATGCGGGCGGTGTCGAAGAGCACTGTCTTCTGCATTTGAGCACGGAGTGGTCCGTTATGGAGTCCCAGTCGCCTCAGAGGACCCAAGAGGCTGACCGGATTTAGCCCGTTCCCAGATACGACCACAGGAATAATTTCTGTCGGCAGACCATCCCACATGTCGGTCACTTCGTAAGCCAAGTCTAGATATTTTGTCCGCTTATCTGTTTTGGCTTTCACGGGGTTCTCGTCATACGGAATGGTAATGTCGACAAAAATCCTTGACTGTGCCTGGTCCATCAGCACAATATCAGGCTTATTCGCAAGAATGCTCCTGTCTGTGAGGATAGCCTGGTCCCAGTAGAGCCTGGCGCGGTCCTTTTTGAGCACGGCTTCAGGCATGTACTTATAATAAGGCACTTCCCGATCCAAGAGACCGTATTTCAGGGCGAGCTCCTGGTGTAGAATCCTGGCTACTAGATTGTGTCTGTGCAAGTACTCAGAGTTAGAAAGAGCCGAACAACCGGAGATGTCATACCTAAGTGATACTCCGAGATGGCGACAAACTCAACAGATATCGACGGCGCTATCCTATAGAATGTATCTGCAATAGCTATTGGTCTTAATAACATGATGCTGTATCGCACAGACAAAATCCTCGGTTTCACCAAAAAGGTCACCGAAGCGTAGCCAGTAGAGGGAGGAGCTCCTTCTCCTTACATACGGATACCGATTGGAAATGCACTGTACTGCTGGTCTTGCCATTGCTCGTTGGCCAAGGATAGAGGGGTTAGCCATTTATCACAACAAATGTAGAATGGATCATCCGATTTTGTCAGGAAGTAATCACGGAGGCTGCACACTTCGTGATTATGCATGGTGACAACGATTACCATGTTTCGCGTTAAATACAGCCTCATTACTGACTATGTCTTATTATTATTATTATTATCGTAAATTCCAAAGCCTACGCATAGGCCCATCGGTAAACCATATAAAGCTATCGACATCACAGATGACCTGTTCATTCAGCCAGTCCTCTCTGAAGGGTGGTTTCACAATGT